CCCGCCTCTCGCGATAGGAGGAGGCCCCCCCCCGGGGCTCTCACATTGGCTGGGACCCCCCAGCTGCGCCCGCCCCCGCTGGGGGGCGCGGGACAGCGCCGCCATGTTGCCCCGCAGCGGCCCGGGGCGCGCTGGGATCGGGACGTTTAAAGGGCAAATTAAAGTTATCTGCTCGCTGCCGGGGAACGCTATGTCAGAGCATGTGCCTGCTGTATTAATAGCACTGCGAGGCACCGCAGGGGACGAAGGAAGCTGGCAGGAGTGCCTCTGGCGGCCTTAACTGTTCAGGCACAAGCCTAGGCTGGCAGGAGGGCACAGACGCTTTGCTGAGGTGGCTTTGGTGCAGCGAGTCCTCAGCATGGAAGGCGCCAAGCGCCGACCTGCTGTGCGGGGCTCCCGCCACCGCTGTGGACGCAGAGCAGCAGGGCGCGCGGTCCTGTCACACCACGGTGCCTGCCGGGGCGTCCGTGCAGCGTGGCAAAAGGGTGCGCAAAGGTCCCCGGCGTCGGTGGCCAGGGAGGGGGAGCCCTCTGCAAGTCAAGGGCATGGGAGGTTTCCACACGTGTGACACCGGGTGTGAGCGTGCAGGGCTTGCGGTGTTCGCATGCCCCGGAGTGCTCCACAGGACACAGCTTTCCTGGGGAGGAGGGCAGCAGGTTTCCCCGCTGCTTCCCCTCGCTTCAACCCAGCAAGGTCAGACCCTCCGCAAGAGCTGCAGTCAGTCACCTCCGAAGGGGACGGGGAGAGGGAGGGAGAGGCTCCAGGAAGCACATGCCAGGGACGCTCGTGTTGCTGGACTCGCGCCAGGCGTAAAGGAGCAGTAAAGGCGCTCGTGAAAGCCTGTTTTCATTCAGCACCTGGTTCCTGGGGAAATAGCTGGGTCTCACATGAAGAGTATGTTGATTCCTCGCATGTCCTTTCTAGCCAGGGCCCCTATATGAAAGCTGGGAGGGCACGATTCACCGTTAAAAAGCTGTGTGACTTTATTGCATCAAATCCTTCCCTGAAAGCCAATGCCACAAGTCACAGGCGTGTACCCAGACCTTTCTCTGAAAGTCACTAAGTTATGCCCCGCAAGACTCTGCTTTACTGGGGAATGCTTAGTGCAACAGGGCCCGCTTTGATTTGGTAACATAGTATTGATAATGGAAATAGGGTTCACCTTAATATAGAATGAAAAAGAGCGGCCATTCTGTGAAGAGACATTCGCTTCAGGACAGCAAATCTCTCCTCACTGGCGTGTTTGTGAACATGAGTCAGTGACACTGTAAATGTGATCCGCCGTCTCCCTTGCCCTCTGCTGCTCCCAGGGCTGTTGAGGCAGAGGTCTTCTCTCATGAACAGCTCTCGGGGAAGCCGCTAGCAGCTTGAACATCAAAGCGCACCCTTTGCACCCCTGCTGTCCTGAGCAGATGGAGCCCTTCTCCAGCCCTAAAAGGGGGGAGGAGAGACCTTATGCGGGTGCCCTTTCCCTGGGCTCAGCGGAGGGTGAGAAAGGCTGTGGGGCACTCACTAGAGACGGAAAGCAAGCGCCAGCAGGGCATATAAGGGATCCCCGAGACTAGACTGTGAGTCAAGGGGAGCGCTGTTTGATATATGTAGCTAGCCGGTACTCTTAACCTTTTCTTCCTCGTCCTTCCCTCACCGTGTCTGCTGTCTCCCTTTCTCACAGGAAGCTGAATATCCCCGGAGCAGCTCGGAGCTGCTGCCGGCTTCGCGCAGAGCCCTGGCGCGGCGGTGCTCGCCCCTGCAAGGTCCCCTCCGCACAGCTGTGAGTGTGCGGCCGTGCGGGGAGCCGGGCCGAGCGCGGTGTCGGTGTCGGGGCGGTACCGCGCAGGAGGGCAGCGGGGGGCACTGGGGCACAGGGCAGCGCTCGCGTGAGGCCGCGGCACGGCCGCCCTCCCTCCTGTGCCACATTCAAGTTGTCCTCCTGCAGCCTCGATCGTACGAGTTTGGGCTGGGTTGTGAAGTTAGTGATGCACGTTGTGGTTCTGCTTCACACAGGCTCTTTGGTGTTTCTGTTGCATCAATACCGTTTATTATGACTGCAACGTGTAGATAGAGAATAGTTACTTTTTATACTTCTGGTCCTACACTTCTGTCTGCCCAGGTGTCCACTGCTTGGAGATACTGAGCTTTGAAACAGTGTTAATGAAAGCTGGGGCAAGACACATACCTACTGCTCTGGGGGATTTGTTAATTTGGTTTTTTTGTTTGTTTGTTTTCCTCTGTTTTTGCTCCAGAAACCTATTTCGCTGAAAGGTCAAACCCACCATCAGGTTTGATCTACATGATCTGCTTCTTATGCCTATTATGTTAGGAATTCGAATGTAACCTGTAAGGGACTTTGGGCCCTCCTCTCCACCTCACACTCTCAAACTTTTGGATGAAAGGATAAACATTTCTGCTGTTTGGAAACGTGGAAAAGTAAAAGGAACTGGGATTTTCATGCAGGAGGTTGGTGTTTGGTGTTCTCTATTGAGAATGGTTACTCTCTTTCCCCTTTAGAGAAATGGTTAAAACAGCTTTGAAAACACAAGCCTCACTTGTTAACTTATGGAAACCTAACTTTTAAGCCTCATCTTTCTTGGATGTTTGCACTTTGAGAAGGTTAGTAGGCTTTTTTTCTAGGGAGGGGTGCAAAAAGACACTGGAATTTGTTCCTAAAAGTTCTGAGCTAAAAATAATAACCTAGATCGACATGTATAATAAAAAAAAGAAAGAAAAAAAGAAAAAAAGCAGCTGCATTGTGCTTTGATGTTTGGATAGTCAGGGTGAAAGACTACAGATCAGATTTTACAAAGTATTATGTGCCCTTGTTTATTTGCATTGCCAAGACGCTAGGAACAGTAGACCATAGTGTTGAGATTAGGGCAGACTGAAAGTGGGTAGTGGGGGTAGCTTTAGCTGAATATTGGTGTTAATTGGCCTTTTGAGGAATCTCCGTAGAGCTGAGGAAGAGGAATCCTGGATAGTACGTGTAAGCAGCTTGTTGAGAAGGGAAATGTTAGTGCTGGAAATAGTAGTCAGGGTCAACATAGGGTATTTTTGCTTCTTAGAGCATGTTGGTAGTGTGAGCGTGAAGAGTTGGAGGAGAGTAAAAATTTCAGGAGAAAATGACAATGGGAAGTGGATATGAAAAAGATGAGAGGATGTGTTGTGATAGGTCAAGCACTACAAAGAACAATATCCATAATATGTGATAAGTAATAAATGGAGATCTGTAGGAACGAGCTATTCATTTTTCTTTTGGCAGGGAGTTGTGCAGATGAGGTTTAGAAAGCAAGCATTTGAGAAGTACATTAAAAATTGTAAAAGGCATCCTGGTCTTCAGTTAAGTTGGAAAGATATGTTAGAAGGATGGCACAGTAGAAGGAAGAGAGAATTAAAGGGTTGTGGTGAAATTAAAACTGGCCATGGGCTGACCAGGAATAGAAGCTGAAAGCACACCAGGGCTGAGGTTTCTTCACCAGACCTCACACTTCAAGACGTAAGTGTGGAGAGCAAGAAGCAGAATCCACAAACACATCTGTGCTAGAGAAGAAAGACAGGGCAGGAGGAAAGGGGCAGAGATAAGGTGGGTTGGTTCTGTTTCTGAGTGCGAATGCACATAAGCTTCCTCTTGTTCCCTTGAAGTAAATGTAAGGTATGTCAGTTTGAGGGAAAAATGAGTAATTTCAATTGTTGTTTCCAATTTAATGACTTTACTTTATAAATTCTGTCTATTCTCCAGTTTGTGTGGTTTAGATGCTCTCAATTAAGCAGAAAAGGTTAGTTAACATAAATCTATACAATCCAGTAACATAGTAACATCCTTCACAAGCACTAGTCTAACTGTGATGTACATTCCTTCATTGTTATTCCAAAATTAATTTATCTGTACTGA